TGCATATGAGATTACTACATGGCCTTTACGAACCCCAACCCTAACTACTACTCTATCCCAACCAAAAGAGACAACTAGCAGTGACACAAGAACCCTAAAGAGCTCAACCACCACAAATCCTACAGTTACCACTGATGGTTCCAGACACCTGACCCTAAGTTTCACCCTCACCTCTTCTCTAACTGCCCCAACTAGCAGCATGGTGGACAGTCAACCGTACCCCAACGACACGAAGGGTTACATCAGCCAGAACATCACTGCTGGTGATGCACCTCAAACCAGTGGGGATGGAAACCTGACGTCGGTGTGGCATTTGGTGGCAAACACCGTACTGGTGGCTTTAGCGACCTGCGCTACCATCACATTCTGCTGCTGTTGTTCGGTGTTTGTGGCTCTGAGCTGGAGAGGCCGGAGGCGACGGAAAGGCAGGTACAGGACAAATCTGAGGTGCAAGAGAGGATCAATGAGACTCATCAAATACGTCATCGTAAGAGAAAGTTCGTAAAGCAGGGTTCTTCAAATCTGGCACTGGGTAGAGTTGCACCAGCTATTCGCAAATTCTTAAATTGAAACCTAAAGTCCACACTAGAGGCTTAGCTACTAGCTAGTTTGTAACTAACACTACTTTATTCGGTTGCACCATTTGTTCTTAAGGCAGAATGTAGCTAGTAGGTCGTAAGCTCTCCGTAAAGTAATGCATAGTCGTATAATAGGACATTTACCTTCAGTGATCCAGTAGCAGCCTTCACATTTGGTGAAACAGAAGTTGTGTTGAAATGCTAGTTAATCCTAACTACTTTTGCCACGTAACTAACAGTTATCATGAATAACATAGGCATTTTTATATATAATTTAATGTAATGTTCTCTCTCTTAAAATGTAAATGTCAGTATGTAAAGAATTGAAGTCTATCAGGTTAAACATGGGCTTATTGATGCAATTCAGTCAATCTGCCATTTTTTCCAACTGTTACTCCTAGTCAGAGGCTTCGGTAAATATTTTAGGTACATTTACACAACAAGGATGTACTACAAAACGGAAAAGTTTTTGAAAAGTTTTGTGTACCTGCGACAACGTTGTCAAGATGACACACGGATCCACAAAAACGACTAAAAATGCTGTATTATGCATGCTAGGCCAGTAGTTGCGATGCCACTTTGCAAAGAAACTTGCATATGCCTATAGACTGAACACGTAATACGCATGTGCATAACGGCACCGTTTTCACAAATTTGTGTTTTTATAGTTTACACAGAGACGATAACAGTATCGTTTTTAAAAGTTCGCATTTTGCATTAAATGAACAGCCAAAAAGTTTTTAGTTGTTAATGGTGTTGTGTAAATGCCACCTTAGTTTATACGTAGAGCTAAGTTTTAACTAATTTTAATGGTGCTACGCAAAAATATTTAGTAACTTGTAACATAAGCCTTGTTCAGACTGTCAGTCCCAATCCGATTGGAATCTGATCATATTTAGCAAGTGTGAACGACAAAAAAAAAACAAATCTGTTTCAAACTACATTCATATGTGGTTTGAAATCCTATTCAAATTGCATTTCTGGAAATCCGTTTCAGTCTGACCGCTCGGATCAGATTTTGCATAGCTTGCCTGTGTCATTTTCTTTCGCCACGTAAAACGTAAACACGTCAGACATTGTTTGTAGAAAACATGCTAAATGTCTTTGCAGAAACAAGTTTGTGTTGTTGTGAAGCGCAAATCAAGCAGAAAATGACCTCTTTGAGTTTTGAGACCGGCGGAGAGACGGCAGGACGGAATAAATCTGCGCATTCCAGCTTCCTACGCTTCTGCCGCTGCCTCATAAGACCTAGTATAATCCAGTGCAAGAGCAACATGTCGTGTTGCAAGACAACATCTGTATTGCAAACTGTATTGTTGGTTTTAGCATATGCATACCAACGCAACGACATTGCAATAAAGCCTATGCAGATATTCATTAAAATGAAAGAGCGCCAGAGTCACACAAATTAGATCTGGTGTGGACAGTCAAACATCTAAATCAGATTCCAATCGGATACACAAATAATCGGATTTGGACTGACAGTCTGAAAAAGGCTTTGGCGACCTTTTATGGTAAAACTAGGCTAAGTTGTAACTTGCGCACAGATGGTGTAACCGGCACCTGGAGGGTTACTAGAAAATTACATACAGGTCAGTTTGATATGGAGCTAAATTCTGGATTTGGAGAACCCAGTTTGAACCAGTTGATCAGATGATCATGTTTCATAGATGCTGCTAACATTTAATATGGTTTAATTCAATCTGAAGGTGGACGTGCTAAAGACTTGCTTTCAAAACCACCTGAAACAACAAAAACATAATTGCCTGGTTTCACAGACAGGGCTTAGACTAAGCCAGGATTAGTCCATAGTTCAATTAGGACATTCAAGTAATTTTTCATAAACATGCCTTAGAAAACACATTACTGGTGTGCATCTTGAGACAAAACAAAGGCACTGATATATTTTAAGATCAGTCAGTGCAAGTTTCTTTCAGTTGACACAGCTCAGACTTACATTTTAGTCTGGGACTAGGTTTAAGCCATGTCTGTGAAACCGAGGGAATAACCCTAAGCTTCCCATTCAGTGCCATCCATGGACTACAAAAAACGAACTCTAGTATTTCGTGAGAATTCACCAGAGGACTTAAAGATACATAGTGGATCATTGATTTGTTACCATGAGCATTTCTGTAAAAAGACAGATAAAAGTTAAACATTTATAATTTTGAAGATTGATTTAAGTGTTTCAAAACCTAGTACGCTGCCTTAATTTATTCTGCCAACTGCTTTCTAAGACAGCATGGAGGATGGAACCTCATATAAGTGATTGATTTGGAACGCTCTGCATGGGCAGAATATCACAATTTAATCTAATAGATTAAAAGATGCTATTTAAACTGAGCTGGATGTTGACATCACTGAATTCAATGATGAACTGTCTTTAACTGAAAAATTTGTGTTTACTATTGTCATTTTGCATTATTGACACACTATTTTCCTAATTAATGCTGTTCAGTTGCTTTGACACAATCTGTATTGTTAAAAGCGCTATATAAATAAAGGTGACTTGACTTGACTTGACTAATAGAGTTTGGTGATAGCATGTCGCTAAGCTAATACTCTAAACGGCCGCAGCCCTGCAGAGTTTCAACCCTGCTCAAGCACACATACCATGCAGTTTTCAAATAAGCCTGAAGGACTTGATTAGTTGGATCAGGTGCGTTTAATTAGGGTTGAATCTAAACTCTGCAGGGCTCCGGCCCTTTTTGACACCCCTGCTATAAACTATTGCGTAAACAGTCCATTTAAGTTGGATTTAACTATATTTCAAACAATATTTTTGCTATTAATTTAATTAAAAGTGATGTCAAAGTAAGTGATATTTTGTTTGTTTTCACTGAGTTTGTTGCAATGCATTCTGGAAATTTGCATTCGCATTTGGCCAAAACAAGGCATCGTAGAAGCCAGCATAACTGCACTATGATGCATTTAAATGCTGCCTACAGAGGCTACGCTAGGTTTCGGAACAGATTTTGTGAATTTTCAACCAAGATCTTGTTTTATAAATTGAATGCATGATGAAAGTGTGTATTTTATGGAAGTATTAGTGAAGAACTGTCTTTCTTGGACAGTTTTGTGCATGTAAATCCTTTAGAATTTCATTAAACAGATGATTTAGATTTTAATTACACCTTTAAAGGCAAATCTCAGAACACTTATTTTCAGATACAGTCGAGCGAAAACTGACTCCGCGAACACCTGACAGTCTTGTTTTTCAAAAAGGCGGCTGGTTGCTAAGTGCTTTAAGATGCACAAGACCGCCGCCACTTTCCACGTCCAAATGGAAGCAGCCGGAAGCTCTCGCTGAGGAGTTTTGTTTCTGCTTTCCCAGAAGTGACAGCTCAGAGCAGGAACTAATGGAGTGCTGGGGTATTTTTACTAGATGTTGGCTCAAAGCATCCTTTCAGCGGGGTGCTGGTAATGGCACCTGACGCACCATCGAGGGCATGTTTTGAGCGGGTCTGAGTGCATGGGAGTTGGTGTTTAATGTTCTTTGGGTAATTGTTTCGAGATAGGAAATGAACTGACCCAGATTATATAAACTACACATAGTGTCTGACATTTAAATAATTCATATTTTGTCATGTACTCAGCCCAGTCTCATTCCAACCCTGCATTATTTTCTTTCTTCATTAAATAAAAGAGATTCTAAGGCAGAATATCTCCATTTTCATTTGCGGTCTCTCAGTCGGTCTTGTGAAATGCAAACCATTGCAACAGGTTCCCCCCCTACACTTGACAGAAGTTTTGTCCTGTAATTTAATCTATTAACTACAGAAGCCTGCTTCTGCCATGGAATGAAAAAATACAAAGGAAAACTTATCTCCCAATTCAACATTTTTACTTACAATTCTGAGAAATAAATCAGAATTGTGAGATACAAACTCGGAACTCAGACTTTTTCTTGCAATTCCAAGTTTACGTCTCATAATTCTGACTACTTTTCTTTGAATTCTGACTTTACATCTCACAATTCTGTTTTTTTTCTTTCCTCCACACAATAATAATAAAAAAAGTAATCGCGACTTCCTCACAATTCAGACTTTATATTTCACAATTCTGGTTTTCCCGATTTCAGACTTTTCCCGCATTTTCTCAGAACCGCAAGTTATAAATTTGCAATTGCAAAAATAAATAAATAAATCAGAATTGAATTGTAGGAAAAAAAGTCTGAATTGTGAGATAAGTTGCAATTACCATTTTTTATTTTTATTTTTTGTCCTGTGGCAGAAGCAGGATTTCTTATTTAACTGATAGCATTTCGATAAACCTACTTTTATTGTACTTTTAGATGACAGAAGCTCAAATATTCAGCTTTTTGCATTTCATGGAAAAAAAAACAAAGCAGAAATTGGTTAACATTACATAGTGCTGTCATTAATTTATTTTTCATGAATATGGCAGAATTTTGCATATAATTTGAAAACAACAACAACAAAAAATCTAAATAATAGAAACAATGCATGGGTCACTGATGGAAGAAAAGTCTCTTTACAGATTTTTGTTTTCCCTAACACATTTTTAATAAGAAATCGTACATGTATATTCCCTAAAACGGAGCTCACAGGCTGCTGACTTTGGTTCCTCAGATATTAAAAAGCTTCTTCACAGCCTCTTTATACTTCTGTAGGTTTTCCTCGGTCTCTCCGTCGTTCTTCAGCCTGAGCACCGTGTCTCTGTACTCCTGCCCCAGCAGCTGCTCCCTGGTTCCCTCCTCCACCTCAGCCCTCGCTCCAAGCGGTCGCATGCGCAGGAGAGCTTCCAGAACGTCTTCCCACTCGTACTCCTCCATATCCGCACATGTCTTTTCCTGCTCTCACGCCTCGGTTTTCTGTAAAACACAGTGGCGTGACAAAAACAGGTCAACAGTGAAAGCGAATGACTGATCGAGTGGAGGATAACAGCAAAATGTTTGGTGTGCACTCTCAGATGTGTTGCACCAAATGCAATGGTGAAAATAATGAATTTACGATTATGATTGCTGCAATTGTCAGATTGTACAATATGACCCAAATGAAATTTGGTAAAAGCAAAGGCACGCTGTGCAATATCAGTGGTCTTTTATGTTTGTGACTGTACGGTATTACATTTTACGTGGAAAAACAATAAGTCTCCTCTGTATGGGAAAAAAATATATATTTTCATATATATTTTAAAATATACTAAAATACACAAAAAATGTAAAAAAAAAATTGTTTTTATTAAATTTGAAAATACATTTATATAAAATGTTTTTGAATATATTTAAAAATACATTTTTATTTTTATTTCCTAATTTTTTTGATTCCACATTTTCAATCTAAATATATTTATTGTTCAAAAAAAAAATATTTTTTTCCATTGACCCAGAAGTGTACATAAACAAAAGGCCAAAAATGTATATACAGTATATTTTAAAATATATGTATATAAAATATATTTTTGAGTAAATTTAAAAATAAATGTTTTTCCTCAATTTTTGATTTCTCATCTCAGTCTAAATGTATTTATATTGTTAAAAATTCAAATAATATATATTTTTTTTATCATTGACCCAAAAGTGTACATATACAAAAATGGCCAAAATATATAATATATATTTAAAGATATATTTATATAAAATATAAATGAATATATTTCTAAATAAATGTTATTATTCCTTCATTTTTTGATTCCGCATTTTCACAATATCTAAATATATTTATGTTGTTCAAAAATACATTTGCATTTACCCAATGTATTTTAAGCTTAGAAATATATTTCAAAATGTGCAAGAAAATACATTTTAGCATCGGAAGGTTTAAACAAAATATATATTTTAAAAATATATATATTTCCTTAAGCTGCATATTTTAAAAAATGGCAAAAATATATTGCTAATATAGATTTTAAAATACATTTACTTTATTATTTTGATGTTTTTTTTAATTTTATTTTATTATTTTTTTGTCAAATGGTTGTACCAGTTAAAAAGTGTCTGAAGAGTTTATCAATGCTTATTCGTCGTTACAATAATAATATTAAAAGAACGCAAAATAAGCAGATATTTACCTTGCACATCATATAGACAAGCTAGTTTCCTGCTAATTTTAAACTGTGACTATCCTCATAGGAGCATGAACTGCAGGACTTTGACTTAAAATGTCACTGTAAGAACTTCATTGAAGGCTGAGATTCATCATAAAGGCAATTTATGTGCATGTGGCATGTGAGTGGCTGAGTGCATGTGACACTAAACCATCCAAAACTGACGATATTATCTTCTGTTAAAAGAAGTGATTTGATGAGAAAATGGCAAAAAGCACATTTAAACCCAATTTAGACTGGGTTAGGAAAAGTATCATAGCATTGAAAACAAACGACACTTTTCGACCGTCTTGGATCGGTTGGATGATAAAAATGCCAAGCTGATTTGGAAAGGAACTGCTGTAATAAACACGATGAGCAGCTCTGATTTCTCCTCAACTAGCACTGAAAACATTCACTTAAAGGTGACATATTATGCCCCTTTTTACAATAGGTAATATAAGTCTCTGGTGTCCGCAGAATGTGTCTGAGAAGTTTCAGCTCAAAATACTCCACAGATAATTTATATCATTTCGAAAATGCCTATTTTGAGTGGAAGCAGAAACACGCTGTTTTTCGGGCCTGTCTCTTTAAATGCAAATCAGCTGCTGTTCCCCGCCCCCTTTTCCAGAATAGAGCTGTGCCATTACAGCTCCTACCTGCTCTTAACATCTGTTTTGGTTCTGATTATCATGTTTATCGCGCTGAAGTCATGCGGTTTAAACCATATGAGTTTAAAATTGTGATATACGGTTTTCTGAGCACACACATCCGAAGCACACGCACAGAAAGCGGCTGTCACAGCATGTGAGTACTAAACTAAGTTCTCATTCACACACAAGTTTATGTTAAAAGCACACATGAGTTACAAAAAACAGTGGGTTATGTCTGTGAAGGTAAACAGCTGGGAAATAAATCGCATGTTTATTTTAGATTTCTGTGGCAGCAGCAATATACAGTAAATAAATCAATAAATGCACTGCTCTCTCGTCTCCTCTGAGGCTGGGACTCTAAACAGTGTTCTGTGCTCGTCTGTGCAGCCAAACACAGAACAGTTAGCATGTTTTGCTCAAACTTTCACCATGGCATTAGAACTGGTACACCGTTGTCGCTTGTGAAATCAAAATGACGGTGGCGTGGGTGGAAATTTACAGATTAAGGGGCGGTAATATTATAATGAGATCCCTTTGCCACGTCACCAAAGGATTGAAATCAGACGCGCTCGTTTTTTCAGACGCTTGCAGAAAAAGGCTTACCAAAACAAAGTTACTGGGTTCATCTTTTTCACGTTTGCTTGGTTGGTAGATGCACCGGGGACCTGATTATAGCACTTAAAACCTGGAAAAGTCAGATTTTCATGATATGT